TCTGGTTTCTTTTGAGAGGCGCAGCAACTCGTACAATGTGATTCTTGCTGGGATATTAGCCAGCTGAGCTATAACGTCGAAACGATATGGTGCGTTCGAGCTTTTCGGTTTGTCTCGTCCAATCGGTCGACTAAAACGAGACTGCTTCAGAATTTGAACCTCTCTGTGTTGAGGTTCTTTTTCTTTTTGCTTAACAACTTTCTGAGGTTTTTCAGCTGCTACTGGTGGAGTTATGGCTACCCCCAGCTCCGTAAGAGTTTTGGCATTTGGATCTGAGGTTTCCGGATACCTATAATGGTACTCGTTTCCACTTCTTGTAGCAAAAACTTCCTGTTCTCCATCAGAAAGTGATAAAGCTGCTATATCCTCATCGTTCTTCTCGGGAATCGCCGAGGCTCCATAGCAGGACTTCTCCTTTCCCTTGCCTTTTGACTTCTTCTTTGATGTGGGTGTCGTCCACTGTTCATCTTCAAGCAAATCCGGATGAACCCAAAGGATTTCGCCGTTGGGGGCTGTGTGAGATACGAGCCCCTTCTGGCGCTGTCCATGAGGGTCATCGTTGATGGTTTGCATCTTGACCTTTGATACTGGCTCGGCTTGAAACCAGGACAAAGGAACCGATCCGAAGCTAATAGAGACCGCGTTTGCGCCTACCTTCTTCTCCTTTGGCTTCGGTGTCACAATACCAACATCAATCAATGTTTGAATTTTATCCTTTAAAACATAACATGTCTTAGTAGGATGGTGGACCCTTCTGTGATATGCACAATACTTTGGGTCATTGATCTTCGTTGCTTCTTCTTGGTTTGTGACCGGTGGAAGCTTGATCTTGTTGTTCTCTAACAAGTATTTGAAGATGACCGGAACTTCATCATCTTTGAAAGAGTATTCCTTTGGGAATCTGGGCTCAGAATTCTTAAACTGCTTCGAAGGCTGTTGATTCTGGTTTGGCGCCAACTGGAAGGATGATTGTTGCGGTTGTTGCTGCGGTGGCTGTTGTGACGTTTGATGTGCATCGACAGCGGCCACCGACCCTCTTCCTCTGCCTCGAGGATTAAAGTTCTGCTTTTGATTATTAGCTGGTGGCAGACCTCTCTCCAAGTTCTTATCTCTGCAGTTCACCGCTTTGTCCCGGAATCGTTTGACAAAGACATCAACCGATTCCCCATCCTTCTGCTTCTCATCCAACAACGTGCCGATCGAGACTTCCGTGTCGTCGTCGAAGAAATTGGTGAGGAATAACTCTTCCATGTCTGCCCAGCTAGTGATACTCCCAGGCTTAAGGCGTCGGTACCAATCGAAGGCAGGCCCGCGAAGGGTTCCTACGAATGACCGGACCATCAGGGCTTCGTTCCCAGATATTGCGCCGAGATGCGACTTGAAATAGATCAAGTGCTGAGTTGGTGAACCCCTGCCATCAAAAGGAGTAAAGTTAATCAAATTAAATTTCTGGGGATAAGGAATCAGGTCCCACTCCCTCGGGTACGGGTATGGGATGCCCGTTTTCTTCACTTCTTGAGCCGTCATCAAAGCGTTGACTTTGCTCTCAAGATCGTGCATCTTCTTGTCCTCTTCCTCGCTTTTCTTCAAATAGATCTGTGGAGGTTGAGTGGCTGACTTGGTCGGATCGCTTCCGGAGTTGTCTTTATCTGGAGGAGGATCTTCAAATATTGTCTCATCCTCCTCATTACGCCGGCTGGATTCCGCCTTCTGGCTCGACTCCGGTTGGTGTTGCTGAACCTGCAAATCTCGCATCTGCTGCATAGTCAACTCCATTTCGGTTTTGAACTCAGCTCTAATTTCTTCGCGTTGTTTAGCCAACGCTTCTTGCAGCATTTGAGCTAGTTGATCCGGCGTGATCGCGAATGATTCTCTGGCTCGTCCAACACTGGATGCGGTATCGTCCGATGCAATAGCGGAACAAGTATCCGACAATTCTTCATCTGAAGATAAACCCTCGTGCATTCTCCTGTAATCTCGACGTAAGTTGGCTCTTCTTTGTAACCGCGCCATCCTTTGAGAAAGACCCCGCTCAACTCTCCCTCCCGGAGAGAAATCAGGGTCGGGGTTAACTAACTGTTTCTTTCCTTTGTTGGTCATGTTGATAGTGACCTCAGGGAATTCATCTCGTTGGATTACAGATTTTTTCTTGTTGAAACGTCTCATTTTGGGTTTTGACGCTTCATTGGACAATCTTTGAAATACGGAGACTCTTGTTGAATTATTCTTAGAGCATCCGCATTCTGTCAACACTGCTTTAATGAGTCTCTCGCAAGCGCAATGAGACTCATTTTCTCTGACAACTCTCTTTCTTGAGTTATCTTTCTGATAGTACAGCTCATCATTATTGTGATTCGAGCAACCTATCTTTCGCTTTTGAACTTTGTTAACATGCACAGGACGACTGGTCGTCGCCTCTGAGCGATCCAAAGTTGAATGTTTAAATCCACCCCCTTGCGGGTGTGGAGTTTTCAGAGGTCCTAAACGAGAGTGAACTGGTATTCTCTCGTTTTGGACTTGTGCAGTTCTGACAGGAGGGTGTTTACGACCCCCTGCATATGAAACCATTAATGGTTTATTTGCCGGACATGGTTGTTCCTTGACTGGGGCTTTGCCTCGATCATCAACTGAAGGACCAAGGCGATCTGCCATTGTTATCTTGAACTTGGACAAATCTGGGCTAACCCAGGGTTCTACTGGTGTTGCAGTAGACGGGCCCGGAACAGATGCTTGTGGTGTCTTTGGCATCCAGACTTTACGATTCTTCGGTGACTTTTCAGACACTGTTTCTTTCTTGGTTCCTTGCGCTTGTTGACGAAGAGCGCGAGTTTGGGCAGCCTTCGCCTTACGCCTTTGTATCCGTTCCTTGAGGGTTGAACGGGCCCTTTTGACGAGAGTCCACTCCTCCGTCGTAAGTTTTGCAGAAATACAATTATTTTGCCGTTGGGGCAATTGAACCGCTTTCTGTTTCCTCGACTCTAGGTCCGCATAGTAATGGACCCCGTCGGTTTGTTGCATGGCCTTAGCCAGTTGTCGAGCACGGCGCTGACGCTGTCTCTGACGAGCCCTCTTCGTCAGCACCGGCGAGCTATTCATCATCGACTCCTTAAGGGATGTGGAGGCGTTTGGAGCAGGTATGTTGCAGATGGGTTCCTTAGCAGCAATTGAGTAGGAACCTTCACCTGCGGCCTCTTTGGGCATTGCAGACTTGAAAGTTTTCGAAATCTTCCTATATTTGCGAGACGAGGAAGATTTCGCGGATGAGGATGATAAATACTCCTCAAACTTCGCCTGATCGAATTCGTATTCGATCTCTTCATTGATGATGATCTTGATCGGTTGCGACACCGCGGCCTCGGCAGCGAGGCCGCTGGCTCCCACTGTGGTCGCCAGCTTGTTTGGTTCAAAAGTCGCTGCTGTGGAATTCATTATAACTTTGTTCGATTACAACAAATTCGAAAGAATAATCTTTTTATAAGACTTTTTCTACACAACAAAACAAAAATTACAACTCTTGAGAAACAAACACGAAAATCGTCTATCAATTCTCGTTTTCGTGGGACTTTGCCTGTGCCGGGAACGCTTTGGTTCGTGGACCGCCGATTCACAGATCGTGAAGAGGGGGCTTATGATTCTAACTTCGTTATCGAAGTAGAAATTGAAACGATATCTTATCGAAGTAAGATAGTCGTTCTTCTTAAAATCAAGTCGAAGCTTAATTTCAAGGCGTTGCAAGAAAAGAACTCAAATCTCTGCTCTCTCTGCTCTGGAATGCTCTAACAAATGCTCGATCCTCGTCAGAAGTGACCCTAGGGGGGTATTTATAGCCTCAAGGGTCTGTAACTGCAAAAACTCAGCAATCATAGAAATCAGTACGGCGAGACAGTGTTTGCTGTCTCGCTGGGGCGAGACAGTGTTTGCTGTCTCGCTGGGCGAGACAGTGTTTGCTGTCTCGACCCGCGAGACAGTAAATTTGCTGTCTCGCCCAGCGAGACAGTAAATACTGTCCCGGAAAATGACAGTTTCTCGCTGTAACCGCTCTCCCACGTTTCAAACTCCGTTATTTTGGCAGTTATCCACGTGATTTTCGCCCACGATGTTTCCCACGTCTCTTGGCAGTTAATGGACACGTGTAGGGCAGTTACAAAGGTGGTTTCGAGACAGCAAATACTGTCTCGCTGGCGAGACAGCAAAGTCTGTCTCGCTGGCGAGACAGTTCATACTTGTTTTGATTTTTCCCAAAAACAGTATGAAATCCTTTCTCGTGATTTTTTGAGTGATCTTCTCTATGTTTGGGATATCTATTAGCATTTTTTGATGCCTACAATATTGGTTTGTATTTTGGTAGGAACACAAATTTAGATTGCAGAATACTTAGCTATTCTGATTCAAATTATACAGGCTATTTGGATAAGAGATGATCCTTGATAGGTTATGTATTCATTCTTTCGGGTAGTGCCATTAGTTGGAAGGCGACTCTACAGTCGACAGTTGTTTTGTCTACCACAGAGGCAAATTATATGGCAGTGACAGAAACAGTGAAAGAAGTCATTTGGTTAAGAGGTTTGGTTAAAAATCTCGGCTTATATCAATGTGTTACTACGGTATTTTGTGACAGCCAGAGTGCTATACATTTGACGAAATTTCAGATGTAGCATGAAAAAACTAAATATATAGATGTTAGGTATCATTTTATCAGAGAAATAAAAGTCATCAAGATTGAGAAAATTAGTATTACATCCAACAGATATAATGACGGAGCTCGTACCTTCGTGCAAGTTCGGGCATTGCCTCGAATTACTTGGTTCAACAAAGCGGAGGTTAACTCCGTAAGGGTCTTCTGGAGAGACAGCAAGAGTGAAGAGAAGATCTTTATATTCAAAGTCAATGTAAAGATTTGTTGTTATTTGACTTAGCATATGAAGATAAAACCCACCAAACACTGCTGTTGCACCAACCATTTTGAAAGCTATAAATAGAGGAGAGTGGTAAAGGGTTAGATCATCAAACAGAGATCCAGAACATAGAGAAAAAGAAAGAGAGAGTTGAAGAGAAAAAGTAAAAAAAGAGTTTTCTTTGAATATTCTCTTTTTTGTGTGAGTTTGGTGAGATGTTATAGTGATTTCCTTTTATAATCTTCTCTTTTGTGATTAGTAAAGTTCTATGCTGTTCTCGCCCGTGAATGTAGGTCATACTAATCGAACCACATTAAATCATTGTGCATTATTCTCTTTATCTTCATGGTGTTTATTTAGTATTGTTATTGGCCACTTTTATATAGACATCTTCTGTGTCTGTGAAACCCCCTGGTGCAACAGGTTGTCGTTATAGAAGTACTCTCTACCCCATCCACTCGATTCAAGCTACCAGAGACAATAGTCTTGTACATTCCATACATCACCACATTCCACTTATTCTTATCAGCCTTCACAATCTCATTATAGACTCCCTCCACATAAATCACAAACACAAGCTCACTTCTCTTCGGAACCAAAGCCAACGCTTCATCTATCGTCCTAAAATCCCCCGCTCCATCCTTAGCCACCGTGGCGTTCGGACTCAATCTCTCCGAATCTTGAAAACTACCTGCCTCCGGTAATTGGATACCCAGTGGGGAACTCCTTTGGTGAGTAATTTTCGATGAAATGGGATGTCGAGATCTTGTAGGTGACTTACGACTTTGGTAACAATAGCTAGACTATTGCTAGTGAATTGCGTTGAGTTCAGCATTGCTTCAGCCATCTTGTCACTGATACTACTTGTTGTATTTTCCAACTCATCGAGGCATGTAACTTGGTCAGTGATCGCTGCGCTTAGCCACGATCTCAACGTGCTGATGTGGGATGAAGAGAGGGGTTGATTCAGCAGTTGGGTTGAATCATTGAGTCGATCAATTGCATCCTCAAACATTTCTCTACAGTTATACAGAACATCTTGGATCGCCTTGTCTTCGGTTAAGTTGGACAAAGAATCGGATAAAGAAGTCAAATTCAAAAGTGCTTCAATTGATATTTTGAGAGAGAGTTCGAAAATTGCTTTCGGGTCGTTTGTTGAGTTAGCTTCTTGTGTTGCGGAAATGCTTGAAACACAAGATTCAGGGTACTGTGCGACACCACAGACGGCCTTTACTGAACTATCTCTGGATGTTGATGACATGTTGTCATTTGAGCCATTGTCATATTTATTGGCGATAGCTACGGCTGAAGAAGCGATGACTATGACGAGGAGAAGGAATGTCGAGACGCCGATGATGATCAGGCGTATTCGCTTTTTCCGGTGGTATTCTCTCTCTTCAGTCTCGCTCTTTTGCCATGGGAAGGAGGTAAAGCTATCCATTGTTTCTTCCTTTGCCTTGATTAGCTTGGAGGTCTGGTGAGCATGTTTTATATACAGAGGTAGATATTGACCATTTCAACTTTAATAGTCCATTATTAATTATTACAATACTCCGTGTGAGTACTTGTAATTGTTCAATGTGCTTGCCATGAAGTGTTTGGATTTGCTTGTTGGCAGAGAGACAATTCTCTGCTTACTTAGAGTCGTCCAGAGCGCAAAAACGGCAGTCTTGTAAGAATCCATTTGGACAAATCCAAGATTATTCTGCCGTTTAACATTTCATGATTTTCCAATCTTCTTCTTTATTTTTGACTGATTATAATATTAAGTTCTTGCATCCAGCTAGTTATCTGTTATAGTATTTTGGATGGTGTAAATC